TATTTATTTATTTATTTATTTATTTATTTATTTATTTATTTATTTATGGATCTTAAATTTATGACTTGCTGTTTTACATTACGACTTAGCATCTCATAATTACAACTCTCAAAATTATGATTACATATCTCAAGAGTATGACTTAACATTTCAAAATGTGACTTAGCATTTTATAATTAGGACTCAGCAGTTCAACATTATAATTTAGCATTTCAAAATTATGACACAACATCTCATCATCTTTAATGGAATAGCCTTAATTGTCCTGAGTCGCAGTTATGAGATATTATCTCATAGTTTTTAAATGGTCTCTTGTTCATTCAGATATATTTTTCTTTTTGCAGTATGGCGTAAATGGACTTCTGTACTACTTGCAGAACACTCACCACAAGCTGACAAGCGAAGCTCTCGTGAGTGAAGGTGTAGCACAGAGACAGCGTGCTGAAGAACCTTTCCATGCAGCGGTCCTGCTGGAATGTTGAGTAGCTCTGGAACGTCTGTTGGATCAGCCGCCTCAACTGCTTGGGCTAAACATGCAATGGCGCACAAATGACAACCGGTTAGGACTTTGGTTTATTTTAAAAACTCAGAGCAAGAAGTCGTGTGAACAAAGCCGTGGGGAAAATGGGGTGCGAAGGGTGTTGCAGCAGCCCTTGATGAATGCCAGAGGACATAAATGTTCATAAGAAAATGAATGTGTCTTGCTTTTCACCATGTTTGATTTGACGATGCTCCTCATTTTTGTTTGGAAAGACACATGCTAACAGCATGCTAACAGTAAGCTAATGGCACGCTAACAACATACTAACAGCAAGCTAATGGCAAGCTAACAACATATTAATATCAGGCTAACATAATTTTTTTTTAATTTACCCTTTATTTATCCAGGTAGCCTCATTGAGCCACGAGAACTCATTTTCAAGAGAGACCTGTTTAGGGAGCAGATGGGGGTTAAAGGCCTTGCTCATGGGCCCAGAGTGGGGCGAATGAGGGTGGGGGCAGGTGTGGGTGCTTCACCTACCCCACCCACATTTTTGATGTTGTCGGTACCGGGGCTTGAACCGGCAATCTCCCGATCACAGGCTCACCTTCTCTAATCTCTGCGCCTCCACTCAACTCCGCTCCATCATGCTGACAGCATGCTAACAGCAAGATAACAACAACCTAACGGCATGCTAACATCATGCTAACGTCAAGCTAACAGAATGTTAATGACATGCTAATTGCATGGTAGCGGCATGCTAACAGCACCGGTGCGTTGTGTAATGCAGGTCTTGAGTCTCTACCTACCCTTATGCTGTTTATGAGCTCTCTGGGGAAGAACAGGTCCAGCCCTACATCCTTCCTAACAAAAGGATGGGATACAGATCAGGATTTTATGTTAGCATTATGCTAAGTTTTGTTTGATGAGTTAAACAATGCTTAACTCACTCCAGCAGTTCAAAGTTGGACTTTTTCTCCAGGCCATTAGGATTCATGTCTTTGTAGAATCTCCTGCAAAGACATAAAGCACACAAGTTTTGGCTTGTTGTCTTCTTCTGCTTGGAGCTCCTATATAAAATGAAACGTTACCTAATTTCCAGACAGCCAAGCTGTAAGGCCATCCCTTCACTCACTTTGGAGGCATAACGTTGCATATAATCACTGCGTACCTGTTGACAAGAGCACAGAAATGTTTCTCCTTTTAGGATCAGTGTCTTCTTTGGTGAATTCTGGATTGTCTACAAATTCGTGTGGATGTGTCGAAACTCGACAGTGCTCAGACTGAATTTGGAGAGCTGCAGCAGGGAGCTGGAGCAGGCTGTTATCAGGACTGTGAACTCACTGGCAGCAGATTCAGATTCTGATTCTGATTCAAGTGAAGGACCATGCCTGACCTGTTGGTAAAAGTAGAGCATGGTGGTTCTGTCATCCTGGAAAGCTTCCACGAAGTTTGATGGGATGTACCGGATTCTCAGGTCGTACCTAAACACACGAGTCTTCTTTATCTTGCTTTACTTTGGAAGGTTTTCTTTTAAAATGTACACAGCAGAATAAAGAAGGAACAGATGCTCTGACCTCCACTCGGCCTCCAGGTGCTGCTGCTCGTAACGCTGGGTGAGTTCGGACACGGTCAGGTCCGGGTGCAGCCAGTGCATCTCCGAAGACTTCAGGTGTTTGAGAAGGAGGCCGTAGCTCAGGCCGTGTTTGATCTCCGGACCCACGCAGCCACTGGACAGCACCACGTTGATCACATTCTGCGACAAGAAATATATGATTTAGTCAAATCAAATTTATTTATAAAGCACATTTTAAAACAGCAGCTGTTACCGAAGTGCTTGACAATAAAAAGCAATGGCAGTAATTTAATGAAAAGATAATAACAAAAATGAATGAATAGCATCAAAAGAAAAACATAAAAACACAGAACAACAAAATTAAATCACACTCCTACAGTCTAAATAAAATAATGCTTATAAATTATTATTATTTTTTTTATGCCTTATGCGTGGTATTTGGTAACAGGTCAAAGCTACTCAGCACAACATGTCTTCTTAAGTGCACAAAATGAAACTAGACTAAAAGAAAGAGAGGAAATCTAAACAGAAGTAAATCTCTTTAGGAAAATTAGCATTTCTAGCAAAGCTCAGAAATAACAATGGTTGATCTGGTGAGACATCAGGATGACTCTCAGCTACAACCACGTCAAATATTAGCTCTGATGATGGGATCATTTCTGCATGGTTGAGAGTCCAGCGTGAATTAGAGTGGCTCCAGAAGTTAATCAGCCTTAGCCTTTCACAAGAGGGTTTATCTCAAAATTACGACTTAACATTTTAAAACGTGACAGCATCTCAAAAACAAAACTTATTCTCCTTCTATATTACAGTTATGACTTAGCATCTTTTCTTCTTTCGGCTCTTCCCGCTTCCTCCATCTCACTCTGTCCCTCTGCATCCTCTGTCCTCACTATGTCCTCTGTGTCTTCTGTCCTCACTCTGTCCTATGCATCCTCGGTCCTCACCCTGTCCTCTGTCCTCACTCTGTCCTCGGTCCTCTCTCTGTCCTCTGTGTTCTTTGTGCTCACTCTGTCCCCACCCTATTCTGTCCATTCTCTGTCCTCACTCTGTCTTCTGCATCCTCTGGCCTCCATCTGTCCTCTGTGTCCTCTGTCTCCCATCTGTCCTTTGTGTCCGCTGTCTTCACTCTGTCCTCTGCATCCTCTGTCCTTACTCCAACTACCTCCATGTCCTCTCTAACTGCATCCATATGTCTCTTCTTTGTCTTTTTCCTGGCAGCTGCATTTCTAACAACCTTCTACCAGTATACCCAGTTTCCCTCCTCTGGACATGTCCAAACCACTGTCCCTCCTCTGGACATGT